TTCTTTTCGAGGATGATTGGTTATCTGTGCCCTTAACGGGTGGATACATCACTTGCAGATCATCTAAGGGAGTTGGCAACAAGCCCCCATTCAAACCCACTGAGAAAGAGGATTCGAAGCACTCCCATACCATAAATGGATTTNNNCACGCGAGCGTGCGATCATGAACGTGTGTTACCTGCTTGGGCAAACTGGTAATATTAAGCCCACAAGCCTATCCTTCATTTCTTGCCGTTATACTCTGTTCTTTTCGTTCGCTTGGTTGATTCGAGTTTTAAATATTCTCCCTGTGTTTAGGCGTGACGCAAACAATAGAATAATGGATTCGATAGTATTTCTATGTACCTAACAGTTTTTTTCTAAGTGTATAAACGTCCTTCACGGGCTGCATGATATGAATTATTGGCAGCTGTCTTTGTCCGTGGATGGTGTTTGGTTGACTGGTAAATAGACGGAAGCGGACTAACATTGCTAACGTCCAATTATCATGACCATGCTGACGACGGTGTTGAGTGGTACACCGGGCTGATTGCCTGAAATGCAAAGTTTGTTCGCATGGTTGCGGATTATTTAGTGATTGATTTAGCATCCACATCCATTGAGGAGTGGTATTCTGTCGATCGTCAATTTTTCTTCCACTCAATTGTCATTGTCAACAGCACCAATGAATTTCAGTTAGACGAGGTGGAGCGGAGTCCGATAAGTTGTGTATCACTGGCCAGATTCTGGAAGCCAAAGAACTATTGCCGTGTTGGTGCAGATATGTTCTACATGCCATACTCAGGTGAAATTATGAAGCATTCTTAGCGTGCATTTGTGCAGGGATCAAACGAACTTTGGACCCGTGACAAACAACGACATTACCGTCATGCCATTGAAAGCAAAATTCCCAGGAAACCACAGAATGCAAATCAATCATCTGGCTTCGTAACTCTTAATCAACACCAATGAAAAAATCCATAGGCATAAACGGAGGTAACGTCCTTAAAAAACTACTTGCAAGCACCCTGAGGCAAACTAAAGAAAGTCAACCACATCAACTTGTATGCACCGTTCGATCCTCACTTCGCTAAAATCGGCCGAACTCGATTGCTTTTGGTTGTCGGTCATCGGCTAAGATCTGACAAAACACACTGCACTTAACCATCTCGGGCAATCGAGTGAATATACAATCTGAATGGAACCATACATATTGGCGCAATTCGATTTAAGGAGTATCTAAAGCAGAACAAAGCTGATTGTCGGCATTCGATAATGGATCGAGAATGCCTTCATAAGCAGTCGACTCCCTCCTCTCTTTTCGGTTGAGTTGGGATAAATTCACTGGGAACGATGAAGAGAATCAGCTAAAGCGGGACGCGGTTATGTGAACATACAGAAACAAACTTAGGTGAAAACACAAACACCAGAAGGTGTCACTTCGGTTTATGAAGAAACATTTCCGAACAAGCTACTTCATTGCATTGAGAATGTTACCTCGATTGGTGATGAAATGTTTGCAATACAATTGCCAAGCTCGGCGAACAACAGAACACCAAGCTATTTCATTCGTTAAACAGACGATAATAAAGCACACATCTGCGTATGTGTCTCTTTCGAGTCGCATTACGAATTAGCTGTTGCACAGTATGTGATCGTAACCACCAATTGTCATCCTGTCCTACCAATTGGGACTCACTGTTTCACTTGTGGTTCTTCCAGTCCCTTGTTTCTTTATCACGACTAACACATCCTCGCTAGTTTTCGTGAGCTTAACAGTAGTGCATATTACGGGTCAACTATGTACAGTTGTTCTTTAGTTTACTTAGCTGTTGTCGACAAAATTTTCCAGCTGTCAAACAAGAACATTTTCTGCGCCGGCAAGATATCCCACTTTCTGTCTAAGGGAGCAGTCGCACAGTGCTATATTTTCTCGCGTATTGTTCTACGGTTGTGGTTCTTAGTTTCTCCACATTGAGGATACTCAGGAAATTTTCTGTATCCGCTTATCTCTGTTTTTTTCTTCCGAGGAATGCGTTTGAAAGCGAAAACGTTTTAACAGTAACAAGGCTCAATGCCAAGTAAAAGGTGATCGCCTTCTAACCGAATTGGTCACCATGCACCTCCTTCAACAGCGCACTTATGCCTAGCCGATGCCTTCCGTACAGGTCACTGTTTGTAACCCCTGTGCGCGGTTTAGGAGACGTCGAAATAAGGAATCCGTGATCTACTGTTAGGTTCTTTCCGACCGCGAATTTGGGGCCCAAGGGATTTTGAATGTCACTGACTGTCCATTCCAAGGGATGCAACCCAGAACTCAAGATTGCTAGTTTATTTTTTGCAAAACTTGATGCATCACTATTCATAAACACGAACAAGAAAGCACACCTAATGGGCAAGATCACCGAAATTGTTTAGTGCAGATTGGCGAGACCATTGATAACCGATTTCCATCTATTTGCAAACTCGTGAACTTTCCACTTTTCTGCTGTTCATTTGTACATTTCTGGTTATCAACGTCTGTCAGTCGGAAGTTAACTATTTGCACAACTAGCTCATTGGGGGTGTTGCGGTCCCAGTTTTGTTGGTTAGCAATGAAGTTTGATCGGGCACCTTATAAGTAGTTGCTGTCGTATTTTTCGTGTATGGACTAAAATCAAGTTAGTGTAAAATGGATTGCCGCCAATCCCCCGAGTACCGTGCATTTGATTTGTGTTTCAGATTCTCCTTTTTAACAGTTTGGCAAATTGGGGTGGATATGCTCTAGTTGAATAGTTTATCATGGACTAGACGGCTTAGCCATTTTCCGTACCCTATTCTATGGGTGCATAAGTTAGCAGTTTATCGAGAATGAAAAAAATTCTAGTCCAGATTTGAACTATAAAATGATGCCAGTAAAGCTTTGCGCGAGACTTGACTTGTATTACTTTGGGCACCTTAGACATTTGGCACACGTTTTGTGTATGTGTGTGCATACATGCTAATTCTAGAGACCTTTAAATCGCCCAAGACGTCCTGATCCGAATTTGAAACATGAAAGTGTGACTTTCGGTTCGTACTCAGTGTGCCTGACTAAACTAGGCCTAAGCCTATATTTCAGGTTAAATTCAAAGCATCATTTCAGAATTGGAAAGTTTCATGACGAATTTTAAGGGCACGAAAATCAACGGTGCCAACCGATCACTAAATTAAAAATATATTCATGGTGGAATTGATGCACTGACTTTTATACCAAGCTGGTATCATGCACCTTGTCAGTAAAGTTTTCCATGATCAAAATATGATTGGGTTGGTAAAGTCACACACACACACACTAATCGGATAGAAATACACCTAAGATTAACATGGATGAGTTTTTGGTTGAGCGGAATTAGGTACAGTCAATAGATAGATAATTGGTGCACTATGATCAATACGCACAAAAAATTATTTCCTTGATTTGTGGTTCCAC